CAGGGGAAGGACCGGCCCTGGCTTTTCAGCAGCTGCTGGTCCGAGTCCTCCACCACGATCCTCAGGGTGCAGCCCCTGGGCAGCAGCTCCTGCTCGTAGGCAGCCGCCAGCTGGGTCACCACGCGCCGCTCGACCTGGAGGGCAAAAACCAGCTCCCGTCAGAAATCCCCCGGCCTCCCGGGGAGCCGGGCAGCTCTCCTCCTGCGGCACCGCGGGATCCCCTGCTCATCCCGCTCCTTCCCCGTCTCTTTCTGGAGCGTGCCGGCCACGATGTTCCCCCCCGCCCCCAGACCATGGCCTCCTCCCCCCAGGAGCCGGGGGGGCCCTCTTTGGTGGGATGGACCCGAGCAGTAACCCCAGGCAGGGCTGGCGGTGCCCATGCTCCGTCCTCGGCTTTACCTCGTGTTTGATTGACCGGGCACCGTAGTGCAAGTTGTAGCCGTCGGCCAGCACGTCCATGACCTCCCTGTCCCACAGCAGGGTGATGTTGTGCCTCGCCTTGGCCTGCCGGGTGAGGAAGAGGAGGAAGAGTGAGCGATGCCTTTGAGCAACCCTGGCACCCCATTCCTGGGGCAGCGGGGACACCATGGGGAGCACGGTGGGGCACCGAGAGCTCCACCGGGCCAGACCCGCCAAGGCCAGCGGCCCCCTAATTCCTATTCCCCTGGGTTGGCAAAGCCCTTTAAGCTCCCCCAGCCCAACTGTTCCCCTACCCCTGCCATCCCACCCCCAAACCCTGGCCCTCAGCACCACATCTGCCCACGTACGTGCTCTCTGCTGCCACATGAGGAGGATGAAGGCTGGGCAGGGCCTTCCTCCTGCTCGTGCATCTCTTGAGAAGTTCCCTCTAAAGCCAGGGATGGGGTTTTTTTACCTTCTTGGCCCAAAAATTCAGCTCCTTGTTGACAAGCTGGATGAGCTCCGAGTGGCAAAAAGGGAGAAAATAGACGATCTCGTTGATCCTCCCCAGGAACTCGTCTCGCCTGAAGTGAGCCTGGGGGGACGAGGGGTGCAGGTCAGCGGGGACGGGGTCGGTGGCCCTGGTAGGGACAGCAGGGACAGCGATCCCCAGGGTCACCCCCAGGGCCGGCAGCGAGCACCCCTCAGCAGGGTTAGGGAGGAATTACCCCTCGGGGGGTTGGGGGGAGAAACCAGAACCGAACCCCGCCTGTGGTGCGAGCCCAGCTCCAGCCTCTTCTGCTCCTTGCTCCGGCCCCAGCCACTTACGCTACCACCCCCGGCTGCTCCCAGGCTCCGGCCCCAGCCTCCCACCAGGACGTCAAAATTCTTGGTTTCTGCAGGAGCTGCTGGGTGAGCAGCGCCCTAAAGCGCTTCCAAAACGTCCCAAAGGAACGTAATGTCGCTGGGATGCGTCGCTGCGGTCAGGTTTTCCCGGCCCCTCTGCAGCAGGGCAGGAGCTGAGCCAGGTGGTGGCCCCAGGGGAGCAGAGAGCCCCCCAAATCCCCCCCCTC